TGGAGCTGCTGTGCCCCGTCCTGAGGCACAGCTGGACCCTCACCCTTTCTGGACCTGCCTCACCTACCAGGTGGTTTCTGGTGGCTTCGTACAGGGCACCCCTGCTAGCCACCACCGTGCACGCGTATGTGTTTGATTTCAGCAAAGCATCCTGGGCTGGAAGTACATGCAACTGGAAGGAGGTTTTCATGCTCATCCCAGGCAGAGGCTCAATTCCGTACGTTACTGGGAGTCTCCAAGGAATCAATGTCTCCGAACCAGCTACTCTACTTTGTAGCAATTAATTAGTCATTAAGCACAGACAGCACCAGGTCTACCTGTCTCACATTCCCCTCCCACCCCCCCACCTTCTACTTGCAAAATGCTTAGTTTTACAAAGTTTACAAGTGTCAGACCAGGCAATGGAACCCAGGAAATCCCACGCCTGCAGCCAGAGCGTGATCCCGTGACACGGGATGCAGCCTTGACCAGACAGTCCTGCTGCTGACGCAGTTGAGCTCTGGTCACCGAATTCCTAATATCACTGAACTAAAGGCTGCCTGGCTCATGCTCTTTCCTACTACAAGGTGGTGGAGAAAAAACAAAGAAGGAGGAAAAAAAAAAAAAAAAAAAGGGAAAAACCTGAGACCTGGATGAAGCACCTCTATTCCAGGGAAGCGTTCATATCTGAGAACTGAGCTAAAACCCAGGTGACCACCTGCTTTTGGGACACTCAGCCCTCCTGACCAGCTGGTTCAAATAGGCCTGGACCAGCTCGCCGGGCTTCAAAGAGTCCCACTCTGAGGTGCCCTGTGAATCCCACCTTCCCATTTTTTTCCTCTCCTTATTCTGGCACGTTACTTAGCTCTGGGATGCGAGGCTCTGAATTTCATGAGCCGACAAATCACTTAAATGGTGGGTGTTCTGACGGGAACGGAGCCCTGCGTAATCATTACTTCAAAAGCGTAACCCAAATTTGCAAGTAACATACACCTCGCAGAGTTAACATGAACCACCTGAATGGAACTAGCCTTGCTCCAAAGCACAGATACATCTTGCTTAGTCATAAAAACTTTTTTTTTTTTTGACAATACTGTAACTTAATAATTTACAAGCTGAAACTGATCACCCAGTATTTGAAATACGTCACAGCGAGTTACAGTTATCACTAGGACTTCACAGCAAATAAAACTTGTAACTGAACATGCACAGATCATTATATATACAGTGATAAAAAAATAACGATGTACATTTTCTTGTAAGAAGAAATTAAGTAAATTCTTTGTGCATTTCAGGATTGAAACATCTAACCTATATAAAATTACTTTAAAATATGAAGTAAATATTTAACCCAAAACTTGAGAAATCTCTTGTAATCTGCAATATAGCCTTCTCATTTCAGTTTTTCTTTCTCTGACACAGAACAGATTAGGAATTTTATCCTCTAAGATATTTAATACTAATGTGCAGATATAAAAAAATACGTCCTTTGTGGCAAGCTTGAACATATATATATATATATTTACAAACCTCCAGAACAAATTAGCATTAAAAAACACAGAAGTAGCAGATTGACATAGTGCTTTATTTAAGCTGTCTGTACGAAGGAAAATAATGTGCATCCCTATCATATACGTGTAAAAATACTAAGGATGTACAGTGTACAAAAACAGTTTCTTGTAGTTATTTCACATCCTTGTGGGTCATATACTTAAGGAAATAAACAGTTTAAGTATGACCAACAGTAATACGGTTTCTTGGGTTCATAGTCGTGTCTGCTTAATATCCTTAACCATATGACTAGATCTTGCATGGATCTAATGAAAGAACTAGCAAGGTCAAGAAATGTCACAAACTCTAAAGCTACAGGGAGGTAATTCAATTACCAATTTAGAGGTTTTTATTTAAATAAATACTTTACATTTCATGCTTGCCTGTAATGCACTACCAGGAGCAAGATAAGGAAATTCTACTGTAGACAGTACAAACAGTAGCAGCAAAGTGTGTACATTGAGGTGTAATATATAGACCCTGCAGTTAGTAAGGAAAGACCTTACTTTTGTACTCTAGGAGAAGCACATGGCCCCTGCAAGAACAGTCAGCTTGAAGAAGCCGCAAGTAAAGATGGAAAAAAAAACGTAAAACCATACTGGAATAAATGTTCCTTAAGCAAGAGGAATGTACTGGAAGATGGATTAGTGTGGAAAGCGAAGCTGTGTGCAAAACTGCCAAAATCCAAACAGAAATGACCTATTTCCTCCGAGATGGCTGCAGTACAAGAGGGCATACTGTATGTCATGGAAATCAGTACAAGCTGGAGTCAAAGTCTGAAACGTACTATGCTCGAAAGGCTCGCCAAGGTAACCAGCCACCACCTCCTGTCCAAATCCAACCACAACTGCAAGCAGCAAGAGAGCGGCTTCAAAAGTTTCTCTCGGCACCACTCGCCCGTTTGTCTTTTTCATCCATGCCTAACGCTGGTGAGAGAGAGCATCCTCCAACCCCGGGCAGCATGAAGCGGCCGCTGACTCTCTCTGTAGGACAAACTCAATCAACGACATTTTGGAAGGCAGGCAATACAACGCAAAGTGAAGTCTTAAAAGGTTTTCAAATAGTTCACCAACAGATAGTTACTGCAAACCGCGTTCTAACTAGCAAAACGACAGCAAGCTAACCACAGGGTTTCTTCTGCACGCGAGGAAGGGCCAGCCAGGGGCACGGCGCCAGCTGGTCAATAGCTACAGGTGCCCTGTGTCCAGAACTTCCTGCTATTACAGGCTGAAAACACAGGGGGAGAAACACAGGCGTAACACACAGATTTTTCAATCACCATAGTCTGAGTCTGTAAGTACAAGGCCGTTGCAGAGAACTAATGAATGCCCGTCCATTACGTGCTCGGTTATTTCAGTCACTCGCTGTGTCAGTGCAGACACCTCTACACCACCGGCGCAGAGCAGACCTGCAACGCGTTTGCTGTGCCCCTCTCACTCCTTAGAGGGATAATGTCTACATGTGTTTAGTGTTACGAGGTGACAGAATGAGATCCTATGTAGTTAGAATATACATCATGACATATTTCTGACTGATTATCCATCCATCCGCTACTAAAGATAAAACACGAAACGTGAAAAAAATTGTCTAAACCAGCCTGCGTCTTTAGCTGCCTTGCTGAAATGCCCACCTACCCCTTGACCGTCCCAGCACATGCACTGCCAGCAGTGGGCTCCATGCTCGGGCACGCAACTTTCCACGTCAAGAGGCGGAGGCATCTGCGTAGGAACACCTCTCCTTTCAGACTCATCTATTCATTCACGCAACGCAACCAGTAATACTCCGCGATATCACAGTCTTCGTGGGAACTAACAAGATCTGAACGCAGAGATACTTCAAATGATAATCCCATGGAGTCAGGGGTTCCTGATGGCGTTAGCAGGGGCACGTGCACGCTATCGCTGCACCGCGTAACGTCCCGACTCCTAGCACCAAAGGGTTTATTATTAAGATTATCATTGCTGAAGATCAAAGCTAAAGTTTGTGCACACATTCTGTTAGATACAGATCTTTGAAAATGGAAAGACCTTTTCCTATCGGTGGAGCGTTTCTTGTAATGTTTTGAATTCAGTCAATCAGGTACCACGGTTACACGTAACATGCTGGGGTTCAGGACTCTTTTGGTTGAGGGCAAACCTTCCTGGAGAACGGCTGATCCCAGAAATTTACTATTTTAATTATTAAAGTGCTTTTCTTGTTATCGCTGTGGTCTCGTTATTCAAACTCAACTCCTTCATACAGAACAAAAATTTTCTGTTGTGCTGTCAGGTTCTTACATTACGTTTATCCTGAATGGAGCACAAGATGTAGCTTTTTTTTGTCTGTTTAGTTTTAACCCTTTGGCACAGGAAGCTGGAATTCCTCACCTCCACTGCCAAACGATTAAAAGACAGTATCAGTATTTCATTAACAAAAATCTGATTCTAAGCAGTATGTACAATTTCAGAGCCTTGTTAAAATTTCCACATGGGAGAAAAGTGCATTATTCCCTTCAGCTTGTACAGTCCTTCCATATATTACAAAATTAACTGCTATAAGCCTGTTCTATCTAAGATGTAGCAGCATTTGCAAACATGACACATACAAACCTTATCTCTAAAAATAAATACTACTGCAGTATAACCAAAAAAAAAAAGAAGAATATTCAGAGTTAAACACCTGGAGAAAAAGCTAATTCACAAACTCAAAATAAAAACGAGTAAGGCAAACACCTGTTTACCTTGGTGCACACATTTTGGTGAAAAGCAATACCATTATGCCTGTCTACATTCTTCAGCCATCAGAGGTGATGTATATCATGAAAGAAAAAGAAAAGCATGAGAAAGATGTTATCTGGTGCAAATTATAAGACCCCTTAAACAACTTCAACTGCTGCTTTTATGCCTTCGTTTCTTGCATGTATAATGTTCGATTCTCCATGATTGCACATGAACCTGGAAGTTCTAAGTGGCAGGCTGGGTGAGCCCAGCCCTTCTGCTTCTTCTGTAGTATCCAACAGTAATTAAAAAATAATATATATATATTTATATATATCAACAGTTTAAGTCCTTCTCTCAAACATTTCCCAAATTCCAGCCAGATGTTAATGACAGAGACCTGCTTCAAGTAATGATATGCCTAACAAAAACCTTGCATATGTACATCACCACCCCTACGTTTCCTTGTTCTAAACAGCACAAACAGAAGCAAGAGAATGTTTTAGACTAGTCTTTTTAGACTAATTACAATTTTGAGTCATCTTCTAGAAGAAGATAAGCTGGACCAACACATCTTTTGTTTAGCCTCCACTGTGAGGAAAAATAGATGACTCCTTGTGCACAAAGTGTACAATGCTGAAGTCAAGTCATCTACCTTCAAAGAAACTGTTAGTAACTTCTTGACGTTGCTATTATACTGAGACTGGGGGCAGCAGCAACAGCAGGAGAGCGAAGTAGAGAAAAACCTCGTATTTCATGCAAAACCGAAATGGATTTTAGGTAGGTTTGGGAAAGAAACTTGCTCAATTTGGAATGGTCTCTGAAAGTGCCCCTGCTATCTTAAATAGTATCTAGTACTGGTGGTGATGTTCAGGAATCATTTTCAGTGATAAACCTAAGATGACAGTGAAGCAGCAGAACAAAAAAGTTATTCTCGTCCACTTGCAGAGTAGGAAAACTGGGGGAAATGCGGACGCCTCTCATTGTCCATGCAGTCCATACCATCCTCGTCATCTGTATGAAGGGAGAAGTTCAAAATGTCATTATATTTGCAACAAAATTTTATTATTCACCTGATATTCACCCTTTCTAGGCTAATGAAAACACGCCAGCACATCTAGCTTCTGGCAGCACAGAAGAAGATTGCTGATTGAAGCAGCCAGTTTTCATTGTTTCTTTAGCTGAGTTCAGGAAATTATCATCTTACTGTAGATATATTTAAATATTCCTTCATTTTGAAGGGGGTTTCGATTCTTACATTTATTTTTTAGTAAACTATTTATTTTTACAGTATTTACTGCGATCAGAGGAAACACGGACTAAGCCAAATTCATAAATATTTTTATTTACATAAGTCCTTCAGTGCCAATGGAAACCAGGCACCAGATGTTGATTAACTCTGAGAATTTGGATCTGCATTCTCGCATGGATTTTTTCATCAGTATTTATCCTTAAAGACCCCTATTGAAACTGCTATTCAAACAATGCATTTATATGCAACCTTTGTAACCCTTCAGCATTATGTATCTTTTGTAGCTTCATATATTCTACATAGAAAAACTAGAGTTAACACAGGTTTGAACAATTGCTATGATTAGGCTGTTCGACTTCAGCTGTGCCTCTCAGTTCCTGTAACTTCAAATACAATCTCCCTTTTGCACTGTCAATTTAAATTCAGTTAATGTACAGAGCTTGTTGGGTTTGCTATCACTTTGATTGCTGTAGATACAAGGTATAGTTTCAGTATTCACTTAGGTGAGTTGTAGAACTTTGATATCTAAATAACTGGCCTAAATGTTACAAAAAGTATTTCTGTAACTATAAAAGATCTTTTAGTTCAGCAATAACTTTCTGATACAGTTACCAACTCTCCATCCCTAAAACACATTTTAACCCGCTTTTGCATATCACATCAGGCAGAGGTGATACTATATTGCAGATAATACAATTACTTGTAGATTTTAAACGAAAAATTATTAAAAAGCATTTTCTGTTGCAATATCCAGAAAAAGGAAAACCCCCATGTAGTCCTTGAGCCACTGCAGTTCAGTAAAAATGGCAGCAGCTTTCCAGATCTGCCTGGCACAAGAGACAATTCACCTTTGAGCTGCTGGCAATGTTACCTACCGCAGCCTCGGGTGAGGCGGCCCTGCCAGCTCTCTGGGAGGGCTTCTCCCCGCAGCAACGCGGCGGCTGATCTCTGCACCGCTGCTGGTCATCGCCCCCCCGTGTCATTATTCTTACAACTGGGGGGGCGCTGCAGCCTGTGATAAGTTTCACGCTGCAGCAGCCACACCATTAGCAGAGGCCAAGATAAGTACTTAGGTAGGCAGGTTGGTTTCCTGCACTGGTACTGACCACCTGCTCTGAGTTCAATAAATTTGAAGCTGAAACCTTGGTAGCATCCATATATTTTGTTTTGCTTCAGCCTTCAGTGGATAAATAGCCATTTGCACGGCATACGTGGAGTTTCAAGAGATCATGACTTGATAATATTGGATCCATAGACTCCAAGTTAATCCAAATTTTTAGCAAAATTTGTTCAAATTACAAATATGAATTACAAATGCTTCTGAAGGTAGTTGGGAGATGTGTGTGTAGCAGAAGATGACAAAAACACAAACTGAGGAAAATTACATTCACTCCAACAAAGCCTGTGCAAGGCCCAATGTAGTGGTTACATCTATATTAATAACTTCTTAAAGAGCTCTGCTGAAGCACAGGACTTGATAGGAAATCTCATTTTCAAGTAGTTGATATCTACACAAGAGATATCCACTTGTCTCTGGCAGGTCTTTTTCTTTTTTTCTTTTGGTCTTCAAAGTATTTTAAAACATGCCTAACTCACTAAACCTAGACAACCCACTGAAGCCACTAGCAGTGTCCTCAATGCTTAAAGCAGGGTCCATATTCCAAGTACTTTGCTGATCTGAGACCTTAACTGCCAACCAGCAAACATTTGAAGCTGTTTTCCCTTATTTAAAAAGAAAAAAAGAAAAAAAAAAAAGCCACCACAACCCAAAGTGATCTAATATTCTAAGCTTTGTAATTACTCCTTCTTTAAAAGAACTGTCATTGAGAGTTAACTCGTACACACTTCCATATGCCGATTTTTACTAGTAACAGTGAGAATGGCTTTTCTATTCAAACAGAAAAAACCTTACACAGTGCTTTATTATAAACTGATTATTTTAAAGTTATGCTTATGCATAGTTTCTGACTTACATTTTTCAGGCGGTGTTATTGTAATAGTCTGAGCTGTAAATTCTTCATCAAAATACCTGGTGTCTGTCTCAGATGTCACTTGAGGTTTAAAAGGAGGTACAAGCTGAAAGGGACCAAGAAACGAAATTACTCCACCTGAAGCCATCCAAATTACTAACAGGAAAACAAAATACGTTCTTTTTCCCTGCACCCCAGATGTCTGTGGAGAGGCAGCTAAGTCTCTAACTTCTAGTAAGAGATAGAAGCCATTAGAGTCAATCCCAAAAATACTAGTTCAGAATCTAGCTAACAGCACTACACGGCTAAATTCCAAGTATCACTCTCACATGACTTGCAGATAAATTGAGCTGCACAAAGATAATTACCTAGAAACAATTCAGGCCATTCTAATTACCTGCATAGATATCAGGCAAGGGCAACTGTAGGTACTTCACCACAACTGGGTGGTGTAAACAGCTAAGGCAAAAAGGACTACGCAGAGAGCACGGTAAGCATGATGCTTTTTCTTTTTCCTTCCAGAGTTAAAAGGTCTACATCTGAACTAACATTTACAAGAAATTATGTGAACGTGAAAACAAATTTTATATTTGAAAAAAGGCCAGTTCATGCTTAAGTGAGTTGCTGGGTCTAATCCTGCCTACTGCTTTCACAGTACAGTGTGGTTATTTCCCAACAGCAAATCACTAGTATTTGCTCACAGCTCCCAGGCAGGACTTCCTTGTCCCTCTTTTGAATCAGCCTTGCCATCCACCTTCTCCTCCAGAACAACAGCCCACAGGCCAAAGATTTTAACTGGAAGGTATATGCAGTATGGAGTACCAAAAGGACACAGCAGTTCAGTATATATGACACTGCAAAAGGAAGCAGGGGGGCGACAACGTTTTGGTTTGTATCTTGGAGCCCTTTAGTGTTATCTCCTCATACGCAATTTAAAATACACACCCTGAAGACAGAGTATCAATTTCCCTTTCTATATAAGGGGTTACATTATGGCTCACCGATATTATCAGAACTTGCGTGTGGTTTTCACTAGTTTCATGTTATTTCTCTCCTCATCTCCAGAACACTAACACCAAACAATTAATTTGTTAATTTACCCCACAGCAAAGGAAGCGGAACTGCTGTTAAACCCCCTCCTCTCAGCAAGTTCAATGCACTAGGCACAATTTACAGTACATGATGTACACTGCATAAACTCTACTTTTCGATTATATTTTTTTACAAAAGTAAGAGTCTTCATTATTTTACTATGTTTGATGTACAAGACCCTTTTTTTTGTACATCTTGGAGAGATCTGCACGAACTGGTCAATGTTAGAAGCAGCTCTGGATCTCAGTGCTAACCAAAGGAGAGTACACAATCCCCAAATAGAGCCATCCATATCCAAAAAAGCTAGCCTGCCCTATGAGGACTAGACTGTGTAAGTATGTAGTGCTGCACAACCAGTCAAAGAAAGAAAGAAAGCTTTCAACAAGATGCTCTTCACATTAGATATCTATCCAGAAAATTATTAATATTACTTCCTAATACTTTACAGTTTAGGATGAGGCATAACAGATTAAAATGCGGTAAGTGCATAAATGGGGCACTTAAACAGTAGAAATTGTAACAGTTATGAAAATACTTTGAAAACTTCATTTTAGGAAGAGAAGCACAGAACTAAATGACTCTTAAGGAATAAATAACTACATAATAATTTCAATCAGGTATGAAAAGCACCATTAAAATAAAATTCATCAGCCATGGGTGATGGGAGGAAGTGGGTACTCCAATCTGATGCTCAGTAGCCAGGTTTAAGAGAAAACTGTTTATCAATAACATCCAGTAAGTCAGCTCATGAAAATTGCAGTTATGCTAGAAGGTTAGCTGTCTGGGGAGGTGAAACAAGGAAAACATATGAAACTCCAGGCTGTAACCAGAAGAGAGGAACCCGATGAAAATTTATATCACTGGTGTTTTGAGATTCATCCATCTTACAGCAGTACCTTCCATACCCTGGACACAGAAAGCAGTCGGAAACTTCAGTGACTGCAAAAACAAACCGTGCATCCCTGTGGCTCCCCACTACAGCTTATGCTCATATTTACACAAGCTGCACCCTCACACACACCAACTATCCCCTACAGCCTGTGGGAAAGAGGAAACGGCAGCCAAGATTAAGACACCCAGATACAACTCAGCAGAGAGCAGCAGGAAGGTTTCTTAAATCTTTCCATACACTTTGCCTTCCTCCCTCACAGCATCATTTCCACCAGCACAGCTGTGAGGACAGCCAGAACTGGGAATCACTCCTTTCAGCCTGCTCTACCCCACTGACAGCAAACCAACTGCAGCTAAAGTCTTGTGGACATCCCACTACAGACTTCTGATCTGCCACCAAAGGCACATCTCCCCCCTCAAAGTTAATACTTTCTCTGACCTTCGTACAATTGTTGGGATACTTGCAAGACACACTCCTAGTTCTCATGGGAGAACCTCTGAAATAACGTACTAGTTACTGCAGAATTCTTGTCAAGAAACGAGGAACCAGCATACGGAGCTCAGGCATCACTTCCACAAGAAAATGAGAGAAATGCAGTAAGAAATGCTTTCCTAACAACCTTTCAGTCAAAGCAGAAGCACGGAGCATGGTGCACACACATAAGTGATGTGTGCAAGCGTATGCAGAGGGACACGGTACTTCAACATCCCATTCAGGAGACTGGAGACAGAGCCATTTGAGATAGATTTCGTAAGCCATGTCACCAACACACCAGACCATGCTTCAGAAACTTGGCAATCATCTTTCTGGAAGGGTGCCACCTTTGTTCATAAATTGTCAGATTTTATTTTAAAACAGAAAGCAAAATCTCCACAAATTTCAGCTGTAAAAAAACTGTTAGAAAGACAAATAAGGTGCAACTGCTGCAGAGATACCCACTCAGACTGACACAGAGCCTGAATAAGAACTCAGAAGCTTCTCCATACAGCCCAAGGGAGACTGAAGCTGAGGCTCATGACAAAGAACAAAGCACCCAACATTAACTAGTGCTCTGATGATCACACCATGAAGATGCCTCTCCACACCTTGGTGCCACAAGGAAATGGTATCCAGCTGCCATTGCCACAGCTTTTCCCCACTTCTGACCCGAGAAGTCAGAAAGCCCAAGAGTAAAGCAAGCACCACAAGGCACACCCAGTAACCTGCCCCCAAGAGGCGTATGATGAGCTTTGTCAGTCTGCGTGCGAATGGTGCTGCTCCGTCCCAGCTGCCACGCTTTAGCACAGGATGATTTTCCTGCTCTAGCAACCTGTGCAAATTCAGGCAGAACACACTCGAACCAGACAGGAGACTGCACCTTCAGCACCCAGCAACTTACTCTAAGGACCAGAAACACAGATTTTCTGTGTTCATGCACTAGACACACACAAACAAAGAAATAAGAAGCCTAAACTCAGTGTGAGTTCACTGACTACAAGAGTTCATGTTCAAGACAAAAATCCAACTTCACAGCCATCTGTCAAGCTGAATCTGCCCTGGCCATTTCCAAGGCTTGGTGTTAGAAACGGCAGCAGAAGCAGTATCAAATTCTTAAGTGTCTTTATTATCTCTAGTGAATGTCACTTCCACTTGGCATCTATCAAGAGCAGTGTGTGAGAAATATCACTGCTTTTCCACAGTTCAAAACCTCAGAAACTTGCCACACACCTCTTGGGGGAAGGAGAGGGGCAGGTACATTATTGGTAATTAAGTGTTCATGATCTGATGTCCAGAAATCAAACTTTCATCTACCTTAAACTTTCCTGGAGAACCAAAACTGCAAAGTCATTATTTTCATGAATGAAACAGAAGAGACAGATTAGCCAAATCAGAATGGTGGAAAATATAAACCATACTGTGAGAAGAAAATGGGGTCACATCACTGAAATACATCTTTGTATTTCATCACAAACGTGCTAAGTTGGAAGTGTTGAAAACATGTCAAAATTCACAAACAGACTTCCAAACTCAAAAAAAAAAAAAGTATTTGTATTAACAAACTAGCTAACTTAATGACATTCCAAATAAACAGTCCATTTTCACATAAACTGAAATTCATTAACTTATAACCCAATAAAACATTTTAAAAGGACACTAGCAAAGCTTGTCTTAAAATCTGATGTTTTTCTAATGCACGTTTGTTAACCTGTGTTCCCTCATTTGTTCCTCTTCTAAGCTCCCTTCAAAGCAAATGCTTGGTGAGCCTAAAAATCATGCAGAGACACTAATAACACAAAACTTTAGTTGAGTCTTTCAACATTAGATCCTCAACAAAAATATTTTACTTAAAAATATGTAAGTCCTTTAAAATACTGATTTTCCTTTCCTAGCAATAATTTTTCGTCCTTCTTCTGGTATTAGCTCAGGTACCAAAGGAAACCGGAGCTGATGAGATTACGCACTCTGTCAGTCTGTACGTCCTTCCCTAACAAATTCCCAATGGCTGGGCAAACGTATCATGCTGGAGAAAAGATGAGGCACATAGCCATTTCCCACAAAATCTTTGAATCTAGGTTACTGAATAGAAGAGACACATCCACGTCCATCCTCCCCAAAACAGAGTTTCCAACGAGGGAAAGACTCAAAGGGTAATTTGAGTTGAGCTTCAAGCCAGCCAGTGAGCATCCATGAAGGGACTGGTTCATCCCCATGGCCGGCCCCAACATAGGCAGCCCGCTGCCCAGCTGGCAGTGCAGCACAGCCAGGAGCTAGAAATACCCACGGACCCTGCTAGAACACTGCCTGCGGTTGTCCAAAGCAGGGGGAGGAGGAAGAACTGGGATTTCAGTAGTGGAAGGACACACAACACAAATCCTCAGGAAGGCAGACGTCAGTAGAGGGGCTTGGCCATGGGCAAACTGTTTTCCAAGTGATACAGTGCTGATACAACAGACAGAAAGAAACCACAACCTCCAGGACTTTAGCAACAGGCTTCAGAATCTGACACCCTTATGTGTATTTTCCTCCCTGTAAACTGAAGCAGCTGGGGGAAGGGTACTCAAACACCAGGTCTGCCCACATAGCTTAAAGTATCACTGGAAACACAATTAAGAGATCAGACTGGTTAGCAGTTTTCTGATCCTTTTACTACTTTGCATGGCAACAGCACAAAAGCAAGTAACGAGGGTCATTTCTACTGGTTTTGTAGCACTGCAGATAATTGTACAAAAATAGTACGGCTCAAATAGCAACGGCCTAAAACCAGATGTTGGTATTTTCCTGTTTCGCTCCTGCCCTTTCCCTTAAAATCTGATACAAGAAAATACTTAAACGTGCATTTAAGATTATTAGTTATATTGCAGATTTTGCCAAGCCTGAACCCAGGGCTTCAATCATGGGATTTCATCATCTGCTGTTGTGTCCTAAGTAAAGCAAAGGTAGTCACAGCTGCCGGGGGAGGAACAGCTTCTCGCAGCCGTCAGGCTTCACGCTGAAAGCCGCTGCCTCCACACGGACAGGTGCCCTTGTAAGCGCGGCGCCTGCAGCAAAGTCGGACATCCCAGCTTTAACCACGCTGACACTCGCCTCTAAACCCTTCCCAGTACTAACAAATAAATTTGTTAGCGCTTTTTAATTTGCTTCAGGTACAATCAGAGGTATTATTAGAAATCAGGAGATATATGTGTATTTCTGCCCAAATTCCCATCCGCTTTCTTTCTTCTTTTTTCATCCATATAACACACAGGAGGAAAGCCAGGCTTCGCTAAAAGGTCTGGATCTCCTTTGACATGAGGCTCTCTGAGTACTTCAAGCTGCAAGCCTGAAGACATACCCAAATTTCTACTTTTAAATTAATACCCATGTGGTTTTTGTTCTGTGAAAGACCCTGGATAGCACATCTGACAGCTTGAGAATATTTCTGAAACTCAAATAAAAATACACTAAATCAATACTTAAATGAGTTACAGAGAAATTTCAAAAATCTTCCTGATTCTAGCTAAAAATAAAACAAATATTTTATTTAGAAGTATATGGGCTTTTGAAGTCTTCAGAGTTAGCCAAACTATTCAATTTCTCATACTCAGGCACAGAGATAAAAACTCATCAGGGCCGAGATGATCACAGGAAGAACCTGGCACAGGCTGCTCTCTTTCATATGCCCTCATGTTTTTTCTGCCAAAAATAAATACATCTGATCACAAATGCTAACTGCTCTACATTTTTCATTTAAAAGCAACGACCTCCTCTGCTCCAGTGTGCCATACAACATTTTATTATCATTGTGTAGTACCAAACTAGTTTAATTAGTTAGCAGTATCAGAGAGCTAATAATTCCATTTGACCATTTGGATCCATTCGACCTGACAGAGCTACTGTTTGTTGCATGAAATACTCTTAAGTTTAGAGACACATAATTCTGTCTCTAATCACGTCAGTAAAGTGATAACCTAGTAAGTATAGAGATGTACTTAATCTCTAGTCAAAATGACAAAAATTAGTGGCACAGAAGCATAGTGTGCACATGTACAAAACTATCCCCCAGTAACTACTTGGAACACGCATGATTTTTTGGTCTCCTTTACTCTGACTGCGAACTTCAGCTCCTTCATTGCTAACAGAAACACATTCCTGAAACGCAGCCAGAAAATTACAGTTTCATGGTGCATAAACCTCAGGCAAGAATACTGTGAAATATTTTTACTATGCAAATAATTATATCAACTATCAATTTCATCAAGTGACCCTACTGCTGAAGACCATCCTACTAATAATAAACCACAACAGAAGCAAGCATAAAATAAATCTATTTGAAAATCAATTTTGTTTGATGCATATTCCTCCCGACTTATTTTAGAATACCAAAACCTCAAAAATATTCACATAAGCGTTCTGATAAACACACTCAGTGAAAGTTCATTAACCTTATTATTATGTTTGAAGTTTCTATTTCAGAGCACAGTCTTACTCTGCATACTTCAGAACTCATAAGACTGGGTGTGCAGAAGAAACAACTGGATATTTTAACCAACCAGACAAATGGTTTTGTAATAGGAAAAAAACCTTTCTTTTAATTAAACAGAAAAACATACTGTCAGAAGTCATTTTCATGAGTTACTTTTCCATAAAGAATACACTGTGTGCCAATACTGCACAAAAGCAATTCCTGCAATCTTTGAAGTTAACTGTTTTAACTGAGAAAACTCAATTGATCTTTTGCTGGCAAATTTAGTTTCTCAAAGCAACAGTGGACAGAGTAAACAATGAATGACAATTTCTCCAGTTATACTACTCCAATAAGCCATACCCTCCTCCATGAGTACAAAAGCAAAATACCTATATTCATGTATTTTAAAATATCTATATAAACTTATATAATTCGGTATATACGTATTTATACCTGAAAAATACCTCCTTTTATTTTAATAGCTCAGAATAAGATCTTGACTGAAAGCCATTTGCCATGTTCATTTGGAAAGACTCAAAGCACATGCTTAAAAATTAAGAATATCTGTATTTTCTTAACTAAATATGATGTTGAACATAGTGTACAATAAAGAGCTCTATTTCTAACGTACAATAATTAAGAAATCTTTTTCAACAAAGCAAGAGTAATGTAAGAGCTTTTTCTTTCTCACCTACTCCTAGCACACTGCAATCCAATCTGTTTCGGTGGGGCTTTTTAAACTCCAGAAAGGTCCTGAACTTGTATTTTTAGATTTTGTCCTCAAAGTTCTTCTCTACAACACCCTTACATAACCAACCAACCTTCTACTTAAGCCAACCAGTGGTTAAGCTCATAAAGAACCTGATCAATATACTTGCTCTGATTATTTATTTTAAAGTTTATTGAAACCTCATGATACCATCAGGGAAAAATCACACTTGCATCAAGTAACTTCAGAGTACCATATTTTGTAGCATCGTCTAAAGGCTCTTATTTCAATTTTGGTATTTGTCAGAGAAGTACCACACCAACAACCACACGTTTTTAAAATTCCAGTTCAACAACAACTGAAAAAACAGTTTGTATCATTGACATTGTAGCATAAACATATTCTGCTCATTCGTATGTCTTCCATTTTTCTTTTATTTGAACAAAGAAAAAAAAGGAGAAAAATCTATCTTTTAAAAATTACGCAGCTCAAATGGCAATGTAAAACAGTTGGGGGAGAAAAGACTTTATCAAAATAGAAGGGGTTTATAGCAACAAGTAAATTCTTACACAAGTACTGAGATAAAAATCAGCTTCTGTATATAAAACAACTTTAGTCAAATTGAATTTCACTACTGAGTAAGATAAATTCATTTTCCAAAATCATCCCCAAACTGTTGATCATTACAGGAACAGAACTGGGTTTACAGAAAACTATTCCAGTTGAATTCCCAGTACTCGCTTTCTCCACAAGCTGTTGGCTCAGTGTTTTAATGCTATTTTAATTTTCTTGGATATCTCTTCAAAAAAAAGTTTGAAAAAGATTTCTACTTAAACACAATCAGAAAGTAGTTTTTTGCTACGAGTCCCTTCTAATCATTTCATTTTTCTATTTCTATAAAAACAACTTTTCACAAAAAGCAGAAAAACAAAGACAATTCAGGATAAACTTCCATTATATTGTCTCACAGTATCTTGAGTCATACACCTACTTTTCACTTGAAGGCCCAAGAAGAAAAAAGGAAAGGAAAATATTTGGACATTTATACAATAAAAGAATAACCTTTGCTGAGTTTAGGTTCTTCCAGAAAATTTATTTTTAGTTCACTGAAAAATTACTACTGAAAAAACAAAGATTAAGTAAGTATACCCAGTTCAAAATAATTATTCATTTGTATTAACACAAGAAGTTGCAAAGAAAAACAAGACTAACTTCAGAGAGCAGCAGTCCTAAGACTATCAGTTGAAAACCTGCAGAAGCCAGATTATTCAATGTCATATAAAGACATACCTTTTTATCATATACATCTTGCCAGTTTACTCCAGCAAAGAAACTATGACGCATGATTTCTTTTGCATCATCTGGGCCTCCACCAAGTCTAAAGAGAGTGAAAAAAACATCATATTAAACAAGTTCTACTTTTAAAGGGCTTAATTTATTGTAATGGTTGGAAAAGTGACTATTTGCTTTTGACTATCTGGGAAAAATTCTCACCTATTTAATACGTAATTCTCACCTGTTTAATATGAATTCAGGTGACCTCCAGAGAAAACGTGACAGTAGAAGTATCCATGCCATGGTCTATTCTATTTGATTATTTCAACTACAGCGCTCATTACTGTCCATGATGAGCTTTTTTAATAAATCATTCATTTAAAAAACAAGTTTAGTTTTCTTGAAAGACCAACTAATGTTCTGGCACTATTAAAAAGCAAAACCAACCTAATAATGCTGACATAAAATTTTGCCAAAGAGGTGCCAGGCACTGTAACAGTAATGACTCACACATTTTTATACAGTGTTCACTGCTGTTGCATCTGGGTGCTGTAACAATTAACCAATTACCATAACATAGTCTCAATCGGAGTCAATTAGTATAAATTAATAAATTGTAGGCCTGCTGAGAAGGTTATTTAAAGGCCATTGTAAATAACCACACTATGCGCTGTGGCCCATCGCTTGCCAAAGCCAGACTCTGGCAAATTATCTTGGGAAGTGAATTCCACGTACTTTGGGAGAACTTGCCCAAGGTGATTTGAGCTCACAGAAGTGGTCACTGCTGCCAAAAGAGAAGGGTCCCACCCCTGCCCATACCTCTCCCCTCTCACTTCCATCTAGAGGATCATTCCCACTGACGACCGTAAGCTGAGTCAGCTCACTAACCTAGAAGAAAACTAGCCCCGCAAGGAGGAAATGAGAAAGAACTGGCCATTTTTTGTTGCATTAGCAAGTCAAACTTGACTCAACAAGTTTAGTGAGCTCCCTCGAGCTGCTGAGGTTGGTGGAGACAGAGCTACACATCCAGTGAGGGGAACCTCTGCCGCTTTCAACAGCACGTGGCTTTTCGGGACTACTCAGCTCTCATCTAACTTCCTCTTGACACTGGCTATTCTACTGGTTTAAAAGAAGTTGCAACAGAAAAAAAAGCTAATCTTAACTGAACAAGTAGCCCATACAGCAGTCTGTGTTTCATTAAAAGAAACTGCTAAAGATATTACGACAGATTTTTAAAGAAACCTTGTAAGTAATATAAATTCCTCTCTAAAGCATTTATTGCAAGGAGCAATTAATTCCCACAACCAAGAAAAAAAATCTTTATTGGTATTACCCTGCTACCAATTAAAAAAATACTCTGGACTACTATCCCAGTCTTGCAGTAACTGAGTGTAAAGTTATTCTCATTTCCAAGCTGTATTCCTCTTTGTTTCTCAACCACTCATTGTAAAATTCTCTCCATCTCTGCTAAGCATCCCAGTCAGCTTGCAGTCTCCTGACTTCTCTCAATATCTTCTCATGCAGCTGCTCCGAGAAAAGCTGAGTTGCAGTAACCTCTGTGCTCCCACCCTATTTAGTGTTAGCTACCACAACGTGAATATGAATAAACTTGTAGATGTAAGTCTGTAACAAACACTACTGTCTGCAAAGATTAATTACAAGGAAATATCTTTCCAGTTCTAAAGTTTAATATATTTGATGGGTCAGATTGTTTGGAGGTCAAAATGCATTAGGAGTTGTTACAGGAACAAATTTTTACTTTGCTCTCCGTGTATTTGGTTGGTTGGTCACAGTTTGCTTTTACTGCATACAGCAAATTCAGTTAAACGTGCACTGTGGGGCAGCAGCAGAAAGGCTGGCCACTTGTGCTGTGCTGCCTGCTGCGCTGGGCTGCATGTGGGGGAATCCTCCAGTAACCAGCCCTGCCCCGAGTGCCAGCGAAAAATGCCTGCTACCAGAAACTCTTTAGGAAACTGAGGATCAAGGAGGACTAGAAAAGAGAGACAGACAGAAGAACACCTGCAGCCCTAAAACAGGCCAAGAGACTCACAAGAACAATCTACAGACCAATCTCACTGATTTACAGAGACAGAGGTTTGTTTTAGAATCTGAGGGGACTAGACACTACTAGTCCAGTGCAGGAACCACTGGAAAATGGCTCTCCTAGGCAACAATCCCAGAGGATTTCACTCAGAAGATGTATTCTTTAACAAGTTTCCAGTTTACATGGTCTAATATGTGATCTATTTACATGCCCTAATAAAATTCAGCTGTGGTTATACATGCCTTCTTGCATGATCACCTCCAAGAAAAACTGGTGTAGTCTCCATGAGACACTACAGCCAAGTCAGGGTTAAATCATACTCTGAAAAATGATTTAGAGCTTTCCCTCAGTTCCAATACACAATCTAAATATGAAAAGATCCCTATGTTTGCTGTGAATGATTAAAAAAGCGTTCTCTTCCACATGCTTTTTCCCCTTCTGCTTGTTAAACTCACTTTGTGTATCATGACCGTATTGAAAAGTAGAAATCTGAGACAGTATGGTTGCATATAGTCCTTTCATGTGACTGACAGGTCCTTCAGCCAGGAAGACCACACACTAATGGCCTATTTTTAGATTCCCCAGTATAATTAGAGTATTTATTACACCTGTATTACCCAAGTAATTTCACTTACCGCTTATTTGGATCCTTTATCAGTAGGCCTGACAATAATGATTTCGCATCTGCAGACAGAGTTCGAGGAAATTTTATGTCCTCCATTAGTATCAGTTCAAATAGTTTCTCATGATCTTGGTTGTAGAATGGTAATCTTCCACACATCATTTCATACATGACAACTCCTAATCCCCACCAGTCCACTGCACGACCATAGTCATTATCTTCCAACACCTAAGACAGAAACCAAAACCAGCTGTAAGACATGCACTATTCCAGACACAATCGTTACAGGCTATTTGATGCCTCTCTATATGAACGTGTTTCCAATACTTCATTTTCACAGTGTGCTACAAGGACTCCCAGAACCTGGCTCAATACAGGCAACTGCAGTACTGACCCACACACCTGAGCTTAATGAAATTCCAGGCATACTGGGGACCGTACTGCTAAAAGCAAAATATAAAATCAAAATAGGCTGGCTCAAAATGATCATGATTGCATTTTCTCTGTTCCTATGTCCTCTACCATCTTACTCATAGTGTACGCAGTTTTAGGAAGAGACACCATCTACGGGCATTACTGCCTCGGTTAGCATTCTTCTGGGAGAAGAAGTGAAGTATCTCCTTGCTCAGTTACCTCCTCTCTGCTTATCCTACCTGGAAGAATAAAGCTTTAAATTTAGAAACACCTTAACCTTACTAAGAAAAGCTTAGTCGCTTTATGATCTTTGTTTATACTAAAAGTCCTCAATGCACTTCTCCTGACAGTTTCATTAGTAGCCCAAAGAGCTGAACTGGGCTAATGCAAAGAAATACAACAATGCTTGTATGATACTATGTTTACTATGATAGTATGTTTATATAATATTATATGATCACAGAGATATGGTAACGTTTATATAATTTGTTAACATAATGCCTCCAATGTTGGATACCTGAAAAAAACTACTCCGCAGCCTTTCTCCCAGCAGCCCCGGAGAACTGGAATAAGGAATCTAAGCAGTGTATCTTGACCCTAATATACCTTCGCATTAAATTGCAGAAATGGAGACAACATAACAGCAGCATACACCCATAATGAAACCTTAAGCAATAAGGAAATGGAAGGCTAGTGAATATATAAATATATAACTCAGATTTCTGTGAACTTTCAGAAGATTATACCCTTTCATTTGAAAAAGAAGCAACAGTTAGAAGTTAATAAATGGTTATACAGAAGGCACTACAAATTGCCAATATTTTCTGCAGAAATATCTATTTAAGAGGCAAAAACCTTAAAACAAGAAATTAGACTTAAATAATAAACAGTTTGAAAGATCAATGAAATGCAACTAATACAGTTGGACTATATGTATAAAGAATTAAATAATGCTTTATAAAGAATTGTTTCTGTACCATTAAAAGGCAGATTCTGAAAGGCGGCACATATGACTGATTTTTAAAAAAAAAAAACCAACACAGAAAACAAAATACTTTTAGCAACACAGACACATGCAACCACCACTACAAAGAGCTCACCCAGATTCAAACTGTAAGTCGACACACAGAAACAGTCACTTAGATATACAGTAGTGAATGTATCTGGTGATGTGTAGTAAAGCCTTCAGGCTTTAATGAATAAAGTAATCTCTAACAGATCAGAAATAACCTTCTTCCATGAGCACATTACCTTGTGATTGTCTAGAAAATGTAAGATGACTTCCAATAATTTCCTCTGAAGCAACGACAGACACAGTCCTCATCCATCTGGGGACAATAAGTGGCCATGGCCACATCACAGGACACATGCACTATCCCCCTAGCCAGTACTAGCAAGGGGTGTCGAGCTCATTTATCTGCCTCTATTAGCTGAAACAAAATGCAGTCTGATCCAGTATGGCAACTTTGACAATCCCACAGTAATTAATGCATTCATATTCCTGGTTTCAACTGTCCTTAAGGATTATTGGTAGAAACATGATGAAAAGAAGTGTATTACAAATCCCTCTTGTGTATATAAGATTAAAAAATCATAAATATTAACACATTAACACATACTATTTACAACTGTGCCAAAACACATCGACTCGTTACATCATTGGTATTTCCAAATAGAGGGTGAAATTTTGGAAAGTGTAAAATACAACAATGTATCTGAATACGTACATATGACAAAACTAACTAAAATAACTCTTCCATTTTAAAATTAATTAAAGGTTTTATGAGTTTGAACATATTGCACACTATTTACTGAAAAACTGTATATGGAATTTGTGACGCTTGTCTTTAAATCACTGTTTCTTCTGCCACAGAACAAAAGCATTATATATTTTTCTACTGTATCTATTAGCACTGTTACTATTTCTCCTATTCGTAGGATTAGCCACTCTCTCCTTTTGAAGCTAATGGAACACATAAAATTGCGAGGCAGTGGTAGATTCTTTTTACCAGTAAGTTGAGGTATGGTTTGCATGTGTGATTTATAAAAGAAGGCAACGGGAAGATAAAACGTGTCATGCTCTGAACAAGGCAAATCACATGGCCAGTAGCTAAAGTGAACTGTATCTGGGGCTTTACCTAATTTATGCAGGACTTTACCTAATAATAATAAAAAGTATGAACAACCTTTTGCTGCATTCCCACAACAGCAACAAAACAGTGGTACAAAGGAAGAGCCAAATGTGATTTTTAACCTCTTTTTACATAAAATCATAAAAAATCATAAAAGCTGGATAAACTGCCTCCCGAACCCGCATATCACCAGCCGGGTTCTCATCCCCAGCTGGCAAAACTGGCAACTCTTTATTTTTGTTTAAATACCTGGTTTACAGCCAGCCAGACAAGCAAGAGCATGAAAAGGGTTTCATTTAGGCAAAAGGAAAACAGCCTGAAAACAGTGTAAATAAAGTAAAATGCATCTCAACTTATTTTAACATAAATGCAGTAAAATTGCACATAATGCATTCACAGTAAATACACATAATTATTTTCTTTAAGTCATTTCTACTCCTCATGGTGCTAAGAAACTCCAGGATTTGTAGACTGTGACAAATCAACGGAAGTGCTGGGGTCCAGCAGCTCCTATGACCAAATCCATACAATTAGGGCAGGCACGAGAACATGTCTACACACACTGCCCCAGCATTACAGAATCCTTGGCTTTGAGAGATTTGCTTTTAATTACACCGAACATAGGTGAAGAAAGCTTCAACTCAATGCTAAAATGAACACGACGCATCACTGCAGGCTTTGTACCTATGAATACTTCAATCTTTTGCCTACCACGAGGTGGATACCTGCTTTTAGAAATGCCTCCTTTGGCTGGGAGGACTGATACTGCTGTCCCGCCAGTATTTGTGGGGTGTCCTTATATGTGTGTGGTACCAGCCTAAGCACCTGGCCAGGCAAAGACACAGTGGAAAGTCTGATCTCTTGGACTCTGTGTGCTGCCCTTAAAAGCTGCCTCCATCATCTCCAGTCAATTCATGTCCCACTCCATGAGGGCCTGCAAACCTGTCTTTAAGCGAATACACTGTCCCAACAACTCAGTCTCTTCAAGGTCACAGCAGGAAAGGCAGCACGCCCACCAAAACCATCGTACAGGACACAAGCTTAACCAGTCTGGTACCTGTTCTAAAGTAATCACTTTTTCTAGGGGTATCAGACAGAAGGATCGCATAGAACTCATAAGCTACAGAAAGAGCAGCTACACTGAGTACGTACTCCAGTCAGGTGGGTTTTCATGAACTAAAGATGAAGTTACGTGCTTTCTTCCACAAAATTTGTTTAAATACTCAAACCATTCAGATACATGACTTCCTTTCTTTCATCCACTTCACACACATGGGGTGCCAAAATCCCATGCCACCTCGTCAAGATCTAGGTGAGTTTTTAGGATACGAGAGCTCCAGCATGATGCGACTTCAGTGCATGGATAACATTTGTAGTCAGTCACTCATCCCTATTTTACACCTGACATCACTGCACCCAAGTGACTTCCCAGTGCTGAGTAAAGCAGGAGTCGGGTTGGCTGCAGTTCAGTCTGGATGATACCACAGATTACAGGAAATAGTACTCGAAAAATGATCATCGTTTTTATTACTTGAGGCAATCTTACTTCATTTGTTCTAAGGGTTCTAGTTCAACAACTGGTTCTTTCAGAGGCAGTGCCAGCCTAACTCTCACTCATTTCTGTTCTCTCACTACAACTTCCCTTACCTTGCCAAAACTATGCAACACACTACCTCAAAGAGTAGGTCAGTACTAAGAAAAAAAGGAAAAAAGTTTCACCCTGGGTTATTTTTTGCCAGAATCAAGTTTTCTGACCTAAGCTGCTCTATTGGCACGTGAACAGTTGTAGCAGCACCAGTGAGAACACCATGGCAGGCAGTGTTGGATGCGGCGATGCTGCAGGAAGAAATGCATGTCAAACTCTGCCCAAAGTCACACCACAGACGTTACACTGACTCTGCCAGTTACTCCTGCACACACAGGCAGCTGCAACAGCCCTGCTCACTTAATAGGAAGATTAAGGGCCTGATTCTCTTCCCAACCTGTATTTCTCTAAAGCACTCCAGCAGTATAACAGGGTTCCAAAGGAGACATAAACTCATTGCTGAACTGAAACCGTTTTTTTTGCAGTTTTTTTAGGACTTGATGCTCCTCTAAAACTTACACCTATAACTACAATATGAGGACACAGGTTTACACAGATGCTTTTAAAAAAGCTGCAGAGGTGCTATTGAAGTTTGTATTTCTCCAGTCTTAGATAAATACGCAAGAGGTTAAGTAATAAACACACTTTCTAACAAGCAAGAAACATTAGCCAGGCATCTGCTTCCCAGCACATGCAGCTACGTTAGTGCTTTTATGGGTGTTTTAGAGGCACTGGACAATATTATAGTTTCAGCTAACGGAAAGCTATTTATTTACCATAAAACTTTCATTTGTATTGTGGTCAAAAGGCAACCCAACTCTTTTTTAAATTTAATGAGATAGCAAGAATAGCCAACTGTAACAAGGGAAAACAAAGCATTCTCTAGTGATTCCACTGTCTCTGCACACTTTGGGGTTTCTGGAGAGTATTATCAGCAATAACCAAATACATGATGGGACAGTGTTTCATACACACAGGAAAGATTATCGAGCCCTACATACAAAATAAATTCAGTTCACAGCCTGAACTTTGCCTTTGTGATGACTAAGGCAACACAAACACTGCAGCGCTGTTAAGATCGCAGTAATTCAGTTGTG